GCTGCGGAGAATCGTAAAACTATTTTAATTTCAAAGCATCAATTCACATCCGCAAAAAGCACAAAGCTTTGTAAGCTTTAAAAGCATGATTTCGTTAAAACGAGTTTTATATACGCCGAAAACAGATGGCGTTAGCGGTTTTGTGTGCCTAAAATTCAGAAAAATAAACTTAATACTTAATATATAAAAATAAATTTAGAGTTTTCATTAATTTAATCATACAACACTTTACTGTAATTATCGAAGAGAGTCTTATCTTAGAATTTCATTGACCTTAATATTTTAGCTTCGGAGCTTTAACTAAAATGGATGGGAATGCGATCATAATATACCCTAATGTTATTTTGAGTCCAAGCTGTAGACTTTAAAACGACTCTTTTTCATAATCTTTTGCTTAGCATAAGACGATCCCACTAGATGGCGCTTTCTTATAAAATTAGTATATGTACGTCGTTTGTACCAAGCATTGGGAGAGGAGCACATGGATAGTAGTTAGGAGTTTCCTAAACATATTTTTATGTGTAGGTCATTTTTATGTGTCGAACCTGTGTGATGCAAAAGCAACAAACCTAATTTACAGTCAATCTTTTAAAAAGTGCCTATTTTATGTCAACTTCTAACGAGGAGTTAATAGTTGTAGAATATTCGGACATATTGAACACCATTGCGACTTACGGATTTTGTCTAAGTAGTTATGCTTAATCATTTCTTAGTTAGGAGTACTGTATAGCTGATACATTCTTCGCGTCTGGACTTCACCTTCACTTAACATCAGGTGGGGTGGGGTCACTTGTCGGACCTAACTACAAAAAAAATTAGGAGACGCGTGATATTGATGCAAAAGGGCAGTTTGCAATAACAATGTAAGTAAGTATTACTGCCATACTAGACTAGGAGTAGAAAAATCCGGCCTAGTATCCCGGACTTTTTTTTTTTTTTTTTTGGTTGGGAAAATGCTTGATGCATACCCCGCTCCGAAAAAAATTAAGTGTACGGCCAACTCGTATACGATGGGCTCTGTACCTTGTCAAACTTAATCACATTTACAATACAGCCATTACATTAGCAGGAATATAACAAGGCGCTTTTGCAATCGTCCTGGCAACGTTTAATTAGCGACTTATTTTCATTGTTACTACAAATTGTTATTACAACGGCAATATAAATACATTGTGTGCATTTTTAGGATTACGTACCTCAAAAGGAAAAAACGGAACCCTTAAAGGATCACTTTGTTGTCCGTCAGTCGGTTCGTCCGTCTGTCAAGACCGTTTTTCTCAGGAACGCGTGGAGGTATCAAACTGAAATTCATATCTAATACTCAGGTCTACTGTCCCTTGGAGCTGTGAAAAAATCAAACTTCTAAGCCAAAGCAATCAAAAGATAAAGCCGTTTATGCTGCAAATTACCATAAATTTTCGAAACTCGCACGGGAACCAAACCTACAGGGTACTTCCCGTGAACTTAGAATCTTGAGATTTGGTACGAAGTAACGTATTGTAGTACAGATAAAGGAAAAAATGCTATAACCGTAAATTATTAGTTACATCATATAATAAAAAATATTTTTTAATATTTCAAAGTTACTACCTCTTTTCTCATGAACGCGTAGAGGTATTTAATTGAGTTTGTACGAAACCCTCGGTGCGCGAGTCAGACTGGCACTTGGTCGGTTTTATCTTTTTACAGACGAACAGCAAATATTCCGTGGTTACCCTCTAAATAGGTACGAACCCGTAGAAAAGCACAGATTAAGTACCTACGCATGGTGTATGTTTTACTTTTGATTTCAAGGCAGTAACATCTCTCTTTGAATTATTATTTTTCGATTGATAAAGTATTATATTAGTTGCTCATCGATTTTTTTAAGTGTTTACGTATAAACTGCGTTAATTTAAGAATTCTTTTAAAACTTGGATGCTTGTAACAAAAAATGAAGGCTTCACGCTTTCTTCCGCCTTATGGTGAGATGTTGGAACAAATTAAATTGGATCGACAAAGCACCACTTACCTACCGTACCTATCTAAAGCATCTGTCGTTACCGGGATCTATTCTCGACAATATCTTGAATCCGGATGATTGTAACACAGTTAAAAGATATAAATAATAATAATAATAAATAAACAATAAATATTTCCAACACTCACACCAATTAGCCTAGCCCCAAAGTAAGCACTGTAAGGCTTGTGTTATGGGATGCTAGGGTAACGGATAGAATTCACGGCCCTGCGTATTGCCATTTGCAGGGCCAAGGTCGCTGCCTGGGATGAGTTTCTGGCCATCCTGGACAGCGACCCCTGGGGGAGGCCGTACCGGACGGTGAGGTGATATGGAGCCCGCGCTGCTGAGAAGGGTGCTGGGGACACTTTTCCCAGACCCCGGGCCCTTCGAACCCCCCAGGATGCCCCCCGGTTCTGCTTCGGGGGCGTGGGCTGCTAGCCCCCCCGTGTCTGATGCAGAACTAGACATGGTGAGGGACCGGCTCCGGAGCCGCAATAAAGCTCCAGGGCCGGACGGGGCCCCGGCCAAGGTAATGGCTATTGCCTTGGGCCCCCTGCGAGAGCGATTCCGCGCGGTGCTGGATGCATGCATTGCGACGGGTCGCTTTCCCAGGCGCTGGAGAGTGGGGCGGCTCTGCCTTCTCCTCAAGGAAGGCCGCCCGGCGGACTCCCCAGCGGGCTACCGGCCGGTGGTGTTGCTCGATGAGTCCGGGAAGGCTTTTGAGAAGATTCTTGCCTCCCGGATCATCGAGCACATCGAGGGTGAGGGGCCGGACGTGACGGAATGCCAGTACGGCTTTCGAACCGGCCGGTCCACGATGGACGCGGTTGGCCGTCTCAAGAGGTGGACTGAGGCGGCCACAGCTCGGGGGGAGGTGGTGATCGCGGTGTCCTTGGACATCTCGAACGCGTTCAAAACCATCCCCCACGAGTGCATAGAGGCGGCGCTCGAGTTCCACCGAGTGCCACTCTACCTCCGCACCCTCGTCCGGGACTACCTGCGAGACAGGTCAGTCCTGTACGAGGATGCGGAGTTCCGCGTCCAGTCGTGGCCAGTGAAGGCAGGCATACCCCAGGGTTCCGTATTAGGTCCCCTCCTATGGAACCTGGGGTACAACTGGGTCCTGCGCGGTGAGCTCCTGCCGCGCATGGATGTCGTCTGCTTTGCGGACGACACCCTTGTAGCGGCGAGAGCGAGGGGGTGGGAGGAGGCGGTCCACCTTGCGTCGGTCGGCACCTCCATGGTCGTCCGACGCATCCGCCTCCTGGGACTGGAAGTGGCCCTCGAAAAGACGAGGGCCATGGCCTTCCACGGTCCCAGATGCAGGACCCCGCCGGGGCTCCGTGCCCGGGTAGAGGAGGTGTGGGTTCCGGTCGAGATGCATCTCAAGTATCTCGGCCTGACCCTAGACCCCCGATGGAGCTGGGAGGAGCACTTCAGGCTCCTCGCTCCCCGGCTGTACGGCGTCGCAGCCGGACTCGGTCGCCTCCTCCCCAATGTGGGGGGGCCGAAGGCGAAGTGCCGTCGGCTTTATCACTCAGTGATAAAGTCGATGGCGCTGTACGGGGCCCCGGTCTGGGCGGAGTGCCTCTCGTCCCGCACGAGGGCCCTCCTGCGAAGACCGCAGAGGGTTATAGCGACCCGGGCCGTGCGCGCTTACGGCACGGTCAGCCACGGGGCTGCCTGCATCCTAGCAGGCACGCTCCCGTGGGAGATTGATGCCCTGGTACTGTCCCAGGTGCATCAACACCGGGTCGCGGCGAGAGAGCGGGGCGAGCGACCCGTTCTAGAGGAGATAGAACGGGTCCGCACCGAGGCGCAGGGGGAGGCTCTGCGCCGATGGGTGGAGGCACTCGCCAACCCAGCCGCTGGCCACCGGACGATCGAGGCGATTGGTCCGGTGTTGGAGGAGTGGGTAGGGCGCCAGCGGGGCACCCTCACCTACCGCCTGGTGCAGGTACTGACCGGACATGGGTGCTTCGGTCACTACCTGCACCGAGTCGCCCGTCGGGAGGAGACGCCGCGGTGTCATCACTGCGCCTCTCCCGACGACACGGCCGAGCACACGTTGATCGTGTGCCCGGCCTGGCGGAATGAGCGCCGCGATCCGCGATCTGATCGCGGCGCTCGGCGGAGGAGGCCTCACGCTGCCAAGTATGGTAAGAGCCATGCTTGGTAGCGAGAGAGCCTGGAGGGTTGCCGCCTCCTTCTGCGAATCGGTGATGACGCAGAAGGAGGCAGCGGAGAGGGAGCGGGAGGAGGACGCTCTAGCCGCCCCTTTCCGGCGTAGACGGGTGGGCCGAAGAAGGCAGGCCGGTCTTCGACGGCCCTAAGGTGGTCTGGGCGCGGCCTGACCAGCCGCGCGTCCTAGGTGCCGCTCCGGCATAGGCCACCACGTCTGGGGACTGCCTAGTACCCTAGCGCAGTCTCCCTGAGGCGGGTCGCCCGGTCCACTCGTTGGGCCGGGCCTGCCCGGGGGCGTGCTCGGAGATGTGGCGTACGCAGGTGCGTCGGCCCCGAGACCGCCCCCATATGGGCGTAGGAGGGTACCGGGGGGTTTTAGTGGAGTAGGATCAGTGTGGCCTTCCGCACTGGTCCTGCTTGAGTAGGGTCGGCACTGTTTCCCGTGCCGGCGAGTCCCACACACACCGTGCGCCTAGTCAGCGTCACGGTATGGTGCGTAACTGCATTTCTCCTCGTCACAAAAAAAAAAGGGTAACGGATACAATACATATACTGTACATATATAAGTATATTTATATAGGAATACGTATTAAACATCCATGACTGGAGTACTTCGGAGTCGTCTAACTTATCGGTTGTATATGACTTAGAGATGTTATCATATATTCCAAGTTTTTATTTGATTTTAATTGTAACAAAATGCAAAGCTCTTCAACCATCAAGCTCCCCAAAGCGTTATACGACAGTTGAATATATAGTACATTGTTCACCGAGGGTGAGAGAGTAACCGAATTAAGTAATAAAACCGAAGTTTCGAGGGTTTTAATATTTTTATTTAATTTTCTTTTCAATACCAAAATTCTGTACATTTTTCTATGATTTCACTTTTCAAAAGTCTGCCTTAACAGGCTTATGTATAGCTAAACCTTAAAAGGCATACATTCATTTTGACAAATAAATAGATGAGTTGTACAAAAATTAACACGAATCGTTGAACTGAAATAATTAACACTAAGCTTCAAACACGTAAAGTTAAATCGGCGTGTAATACATGAACAAAAAAAATAAATAAAATAGAAAAACATGTAAGAAAATAAATAAAAACATGTATTTAACTGTGAGAAATAATTTGAAAATAAATAAAACTTGCTTTTGGCATTAACGAAGTGGTGGACTAAAAGTTAATTTATATGATTAGGTAGGTGGAGTTTCAGATAAATTGAAATACGCACTTACACTTTTATATATATTGCATTTCATGAAAATTGTATTTCAAACTTTCCATGTCATGTTTTATTAAGTGATAAAGAAACGGTCCAGCACTCTAATTAAAACTTAAATGAATGTTCCCCTCAAAATGCCACTAACAATGTATGGTTACACGCTGATCAACTCCATGAGCACTAATTAAAGAAGCCTACACACATACACGTGAAAGTTACGTCTCGTAAGAGAATGAAGAGAGAAACTCGAAAGCTCTACTTTTAATTTATTCTAATTAGTTTAATTAACATCGCGTAACGCCCGTCGCGGTTCGCTACTTTAGCTTACACAATATTTTATGATCATTACAATTATGCATTTATTTCCCTCTTGATTCTGACGTTACCGTGAATGCGGCATTTTCCTGTCCTATAAACACTATTCCTATGGTTGTCTTATAATGAGTATTTCGTAGTACCTACTATAATAAACCACAAATTATCTACACAAAGAGTGAATCCATTTATTTAAATAGACTTTAGTTGTAAGTTTTCCATCGAATATTTTTAATAATAATTCGCGAAACATCGATTTATATAAATTACATACAAATATAAATACAAAGAGTACTTGGTATTATCATATACATTATCAAGGCGATGATTATAATGCAAAGTCTAAATAAATGAATTGGATACGTATAACACTATTCTATGCTTATCTATCATTTACATAAAATTATCTTAAAAACATCAAAGTTTGGTCCAAAACAGGAATGTGTAAAACATTTGACTAGAATTTACTAAAACTTAACATAGACCTAAATACATATAATATACATCAACACTTTTTATTTGAATTAAAAAAACACACCGAACCTCATCTTGTCTATTATAACATTTATAATTAAGAACTGAGATCTTACAAAATAATTTTACCTACAGTGCCTCTCCAAAAATGTTCAAATATAATAATATTATTGATAACATAATTCATGAACGTGATTATAGTGATGCCACAGTACTTATGTATAAGTTCAACTAAAAAAAATTATGGCATATAAATGTACCAAACAAACAATAACTCGATTTAAGTATAAACATTTGTGCTTATGTGATTTTCAGTCTTACTTAAAGTTTTGGAATCATGAGAGATCAAATTAATCTAAACCATCTTTGTATTATCATTGATACACACATTAACAATTCTTAATAAATAAATCTACTCTAAATCATTATTTTACATAAATAATTTGAGATCAATGGACAAATTCTTCTACTTTATATTTCAGAAAAATGCAATCGGCTATGCACGTAACGTGAGTATAATTTTGTTTTCTCCAATCCATGCTCCTTGTATACCCAGGTGTACGGCAAAAAAACTGTAACAATGAATTGCGTTTCAATTCAAATCTTTTCATCGATAACTGAGAGATCGTTTGACTTTGTTAGCTTAGTCCGTCCCTTATCACTGCGAGAGAAGAAAAAAGTTTCTCCCACGTGCGTTTTTGAAAATGCTAGAAATGTATGTCTTGTACATCGGTAGGGGTATCGGGTAGTTGAGTTTGGTCGGAGCTGGTCGGTTTGTGTGTTTGCACGTGTCTCGTCCTTGGTTCTTGAGGTTGGGTCTCACGAGCTAGCACTCTTTCGACGTGCCTAGCGACTAACTCTGCTGCAGCGGCGGGCGTGCGCGTCAGAGTACACAAGTCGTTGATAGACATGCGCACACGCAGACCTCGCGCCGCAGCGGCGATACAAGCCACCGCCACCAATGATGGTGGTACGAGAAGAAACTCGGTTTCTGTGGACAACGAAAAGTAAATTTAATATCTAGGTGGAATTATCTAATAATTATAGGGCTAACCTGCTATTAAAAGTTAAGAGTTCAATTTCAAGTTACACGAATCGAGTTAAAGCCTCGCCAATAAACACTCATTCATTACATCATTGAGTGGTTCATTTCTCTTTAGTGTTATTTAGAATAATATAAAGTACCTAAGTATAATAAAATATATTATATAATTCCTTATGTTACATTGTAAGGGAACGAACTTATTTGATAAATGCATACATAAACAAACATAAATCTGTATAGTTGAAACGTTCACAAAAGTCATTTAAACATTAAAGTTCTCTAAATATAACAAAGAGGTACACAATCACCTACATGATTGTAGAGTAACGTAGTAATTACTGGAATTACAGAAATAACCTTCGACTGCCAACATGTTTATTTAAAACTGGGATTGTTTACTATTTCGAGAGTGTGTTTACGAGTGTGTGAGCAGTCGTGCAAGGATACGGAGCAGGTAGGACGCATCTGTTGTGAGATAATTATATCGGACAGGTGTCTCGGACACCTTGCGTACAGCGTCCTTGGAGCCCACATCCTTTGCAATCATATTAAATACGATACAATATCACAGAATAAATAATCACTCTCCAAAAAGAGAAACAAAAGCTGGTCAATCCTATTACTCCTATAAAGGAATTAATATCTCTAAATCCGCGACAGTTCCTAAGGCAAAGAAGGGTCTCAGAAAAAACAGCGCGTAACATTTTGCACAATACCCGTCGCTCATTGTTGTTCTTACGAACAAGGAAGGAGAGGCGAACAGCTGCCCGATTTTGTGCATTCCGTCCCCGTCTGCATCTTTGTGTGTTGCCTGACGACAATGGAGACGGAATAATGGTAATTTACATCTTAAGGCGTCCAAGTAAGGACGCAGCTGCGATTTTGCCATAAATAAAGTAGGGATTTTATTGTTCGACGACTCGGAATCTGTAGACTTCGATCAATTGACCTAATCAATACCCTGCCAATTTCAGTTCATAAATATTTCCGTTAGATTTAGCACTATTTTCAACCTTTATCCATTAATAGTTTCGTTAATATTCTTCTCTATTAAGGTGATGTTAGATGTATAACGGTGAAGGTATTGTAGCGAAACGTTTGGATATAATTTAAGGACGACTCAAGCGTTGGGTGTAGAGGTAGGCCAAGACACGGCAGATGTGACGACACCTGGCGCGACCCTTCCGCCCGCGGCTTAGGTCACTGCCCATCTACACCCTTCTTACACGATAGCGCCTTTCAAAGTCCCTATATAGTTTTTGCCAAGAAAAAAAACAATATCGCAACACGCGAGTGCGTTGTAATTTTATTGAGAAAAACTAACCAGCCATTAATTAACGTACTTACTAGGGAACATGCGCTCTTCTTATAGTCAAAGGTCAATGAAACGATAAGATAGGGTGAGCTTTAACGCCGCAAAAAGTGCAGGTTAATCGTTACGGCAACGGATATTGCAAAGCTGCCGCAACCGTCTGCGACCGACGACGGCGTGCATGATAGGGCTCGGCTAATTATAAAATCAAAAACAAAACGATCGCGGGTGGCTTATCGGGCGTGATCTCCGCGCGGGCAGCGGACCGTCGCGATCCGTTGTGCGACAGGTTGGCCGGCAGTTGGACTGCGAGGCAACATTCGACGACATCTGCTGAGGCGCACGTCAAGGGGCACAACAAGACGCCGCCCCCGCGTCTTACCCGCACCCTTAATTGCAACCGATCTAATGACGCTCGTTCAACAGTCGACGGGGACCGTTAAGTTCCGTTTGGGAAACCTGTCCGACCCTAACAATTCTCTAATACAAATACTCGTACACAAAATGCAAGGGCTGCAAATATTAATGTGTAATCGTGCGAAACTAGTTGCAATGACATTAAAATCTCTATTCACTATTAATGTCTTATTCGAAAAACATGTTTAAAGGGCGTGTTTTATAGAGCACTTTTATAGCTTTCACATTGAGTTCGTGCAGCTACTTACATAAACATAAAAATCTAAAGTTACGATATGTTCCATTTGAAATATGATTTGAACGATTGACATGTTATTATAAACCACTCCAGTGTAACGAGCTTAGATTGAGTAATATATCATCATCGTAATAACCCGTTGCTAAGGGAAGCGACAAAAAGATAACAAAGATCCACATAATGACGCCGGAAAGAAGCAGTTCTCAGTGCTTGGAATAGGTCGGGTTCGGAAGCTCGGAAGAGCGGAAACGTTAGATCACGCGAAATCGGAGCATCTCAAAATGTTTTACCGCGAGGAGTCGGGATTCGAGTTAGACAGGGGAGCCAGGTGCGTGCCGAGACAGCATTGTCGAAGCTCTTTTGTCAGGACAAGCCGGGAGAGTACAAAGGCCGCGGGACGTCTTCGCGCATTGTCGCTAGTCAGCTGTCGCGGCCCCTGCGCGACGCGGCCAATCCTTGACACTGAATTATATTCAAGATATCAACTGCAATAAATCTGTTACCGTACCCAATGCTTCACATACCTAACATTCGCCTGATTTAATGAGCACCAAAATTTATAAAAGTAATAAAAGCAACGAATAAAATGATCGATTTGTCGTTGAAGTCTTTTGTAAGGAAACTTTGAGTGTAATATTAGCAACACGTAATTTTATCCCTGTAGCGATACTACAATTAAAATGGTAATAGCAATGAATTTGAGAAAAAGACCCTGTGTTTAAGATGGAGGAAGTTTCGGGGTCAAGCCGTGTTATTAACCCTTTCACACCTCGAGTAATGCACGATCAGTTACCAGCAATTATTGTTTCCGGAGCGGGCGTGCGGCCATGCTGCATGAATTCGGCTTCAAGTTAACTAACCTTTACACACAAATTAGTTTTTTTTTCCAACCATTCTAGCGTATTCAGTGAAACAATTTTGTATGGGTTTATCGCTTATGAAGTGCCTAATTTTAATAAACATTTTTTTTTCGCTAACTAGGTGGTACGTAAGTACAAGGATTATTATTTTATTGATAAGGTTAATTTATCTTAGATTCATTATCTTTCATTGTTATTATTATTATATAATTTCTTCTGTCCATGTTTGTGTAATTGAACTCCTCGTAAGCGGCTAGAGCAATTTCGATAAAAAAATCTGTTGTTCCAAGGACAAACTCGACTCCCTAAAAAGGTGCTTTAATTTTACAATTTATTTTGTACGTGGCGCTGTAGCTGGTTCTATGATTCTATCTGATCCCTCCCAAACGGCTTGACAAATTTCGATGACGTTTTATTTGTGCACTCGAGTGGGCCTTGGATAGCTTAGGTTCACAACTGGACCGAATTGGTAGCACTGCAATCGGATTTAAGATTTTTTTCATATTATTATCGGGCATTTTTATATCATTTTGATTAATTGTAAAAGTACTTTTAATAGTAATTACTTAATTATTTGTGTGTTAATATTAATTTGCCTGAATTAACATGAAACTAGTTGATCCGGATACATAAAATAATAATTAGTATCCTTCGGTCAACAATTCTATAGATAACGGGTTGCATACAATATCAAAGCTAAAAACTGTCCGCGTATGTTTAAACTTATGCAGCTACATTCGATTCCCAATGAACTAAGATAAATGTTTTAAAACTGTTTCAGTTGAACCTAATAACAACTAACTCACAAAGAGATAAGGTTACAAATAACAAAATGTTATTTCGCACATACGACTTTTTATTATCTTATAAAACGAACTCTTGTTCCTTTTATAAATTATATCTGACACTTGGAAAAAAACGATAATGGTGAAAAAAGGAATATGTGAAATCAACCTTATGACCCACAAAATAAAAATATTTTTACCAGTCATTAGCCAGCGAGTTTCTTCGTTTTGTATTAACCGATCTACATATTTTAAATTAGATCTCACGCCTCAAGTGAGGCTATATTTATCGAGTTGGATTTTACACGCTTACCCGTTAAATATAGAATTGTTAATCGAAGTTAATATCCAATAAAAGATGTTATCTCTGTTTCATTTCAAGGGTAACAACTGACAGTCATAAATAACCCTTATCAGGACTCTGAAGGAGCATACGGGCGCACAGAGCTTAGTAGCATCCCAATAATTAATATAGTGTGCTCTTAATTAAAACTCGTGGAGAAGAATGTATCGATAATTATTTAATAAGCTGGACCAGTACACACACACACACGCGTGTCATCTAATATATTAAATTCTCGTGTCCCGGTGTGCGTTATTGAACTACTACTAAGCGGCTCGACCGATTTTCGTGAAAATTTATATGCATTTTCAGTAGATTTGAGAATTGGACAACATCTATTTTTCATCCCCCTAATGTTAAGGGTGGTCCAACCTTGTTGTAAATTTTTTTTTAATGTTTTTTATGATACATCATACAAAAATATATACAATCCTAAATTATCACCCTTCTACTACCAACCCCATTTTTTTATGGCGGTACGAAGTTCGCTGGGACAGTTAGTATTTATATAAAATAAAGTTTCTCCAGCATTACTTTTAACGTTCTGTTTTGTAGTCATTACATATCAGCTATGTCATAGCATAGTGGAACAGATACAGATAAATCGTGTACTTAGCTTTTATCAGCACCAACACAGCTTAATATACATAATACCTACTAACATAATATTACTTACACCTTAAAAAAAAATACTGTAATTCTACTTTATAAAAAATATATACAGTAGAATCCGTTTATTATGACTCCGCCTACCAACCGCCTATTATGAAGTAATTACATAACGAAGTTTGGTTTTCATATAAAATACATTGAAATAAAGTCGGATATAATGACTTCGCTTACAGTGACATGTCGCTTATTATGACCCATTTTTAATCAATTTTGTCCGTTTATAGAGACCAACATTGATTACACCTTCGATATTGTTGGTGTTCGTTGATCCCGACGAGACGTTCGGCACTTGGCTCGTTTTTGTTTTGAATCTCATTGAGTAATTACAGTTGAAAGTCACGCATTGTTTTTAGTGATATCCTATGTAAAAAAAAGTCATCTCAACGTCGTAAAGCATACGGAATAACTCGAAAGTGATGGGGAAGAGAAAGTCCAGGAAGAACAATTAATTACCTACCGCAGAAGAGGCATTATAAAGGCTGCAGAATTATTATCGCGATTTGTTCATAGCAATATTGAAAATGATACTTTAACCATGGCAATGTCTTCTAAACACAATAGTATTAGAGTCTGTTATTACAATAAAATGAAAAAAAAAACAAAAGCAGACAAAATTGACAGATTCCTTAAGTAAAAAAATAATAATATTCTTAAATATATACATGTACTATGCGCAATTTTTATTTTGATTTAATATGCTGTTTTCCTATTAAAATACATAAGTATATACCTAAAAAAATAACGTTGTTTTTTTTCACAAAACTACATAATATGATGTCCGCTTAGTATGACGTGTTTGTTATTTCCCTTCGATGTCATAATAAACGGATTCTACCATGGTTTTTCTGCAATTTGGAATAGATAAGTACTTGCCTAGCTTCGCAATTCGCATAGCAAATCTGTCAAATGATTTTTCTGATATTATACCTACCTACTCCTAGAAAAAAATAGGAGCTTTAAATAAAAAAAATCAAGAACATATTGCTATCAACACTGTATATCTGCTTAATACGATTTTCGTGATTATTTTTAAGTGCGTTGTGTAATTTAACATTATAACTGTTAGGGTCAGCGGCTGAGGGGTGCGCTGCGCAAGCGCAAGGTGTGCGCGTTATCAGTGCGCAGCATGTGCGCGCCGATACATGCGCGAGCCACCCCTGCCTGCGTTCCACCACACGCTATGACCACACTATAGTCGATATACGCCCAGACAATCCAAACAATAGCACTCTAAACTCACCCGTCATTACGACATAACATCCTATATAAATAGCCACAGCTACCTACGCATTAAATAAATTAGCGAAAAATGTTAATTGTACCTCGCGCTTTATCGATTGATGACAAAACAGTAAGCCCGCATGTCAGCCGAATTTTACAGTCGCTAATGAGGTGTTCCAGTAATGATTCTTACCTGTGTAACAGATCGAAGTAAGAGTGAGCGCGTGTGTGCGCACTAGAGGATTAGATCTGCCCCACGGCACACGCGCTAGGAAAGGTTCCACAAAGTCGAACGCCGTAGCTATAGATAACTGCCAATTCAGCCGTTGCAGAAGCATAACTTCCCATTGCTGCAACAAAAAACGAACTATACTTAGTATTATCTATCACCCAAATCGAATACTTGAATGCAAAATGACAACCGCCTTTGCGAACTTTCTAAAGAGAGGGGCGCGACCCCGTGTGAAATTATTTATTCCAAACGAGATCGCTTACTTTACATTCATTCATTGATCGCTTTAATTTATTTAGCAATTACTGTCCTTATTCAAATGCCTTGAGAAAGGACGAATACGCATTCCTAACAGTTGAGTCGTAACCGTCATACTCGGCGGATCAGACGGAAACCGCAAAAAGTAGCGAATCAAGTTACAAAAGAAAATAGTAATGCCGTAAAGGAGCAAAGCCATGGGACCGATGTCTAAATTTTCGCACAGGGGTACGCTTGACATATCAAAATAATGAGGGTTGAGAGTTAGTTTACAGTGATGCGGTCCGAAGCTTTATAATGCTCACTAACTTTTTTTTTCAATAACGATACAGTTTCAAACCTATTAGATAAACAAGGGTAAGCGTCGTTATCTGTGTATCTATAAAAACAATCACTACCAAGTTCGTTAAACTTCTTCGTTCATAGAAACAATAACATCCATTTATCAGTAGGTAAGTTAAATAAATAAAAAAGACAGTTTATGTCGTGTATGGCTTTGGTCTTAACCTTATCTAAAACGACGTTATCACAACTAAGGAATGAGTATGCCCAAGTACAAAAGTACTTGGGCCTAAGTATCTACCTACTACAGAAGCAAGAGTCATGGGAACACATTTCTCAACCACCATATGACGTCATTAAGTATGCGTAGTATAAGACCTATCATGATCGTAGCAGGAATTAATTGCAAGGAATTGTATGTCACGATGCCATACGGCACCCGAGGTATGAGCATTCCCACGATCAGAACTCGAAATAATACGTGCCATTTGCATAATGCAAGGAAAGGTACCGAAACATCTTTCGAATGAAAATTCGATGGTTTTTTGTAACATGTTTCACGTGATGGGGGCGGCGAAGGCGTGAGAATTAAACGACATAAGTCATGCTTATGGGTGTTACCTAATTGTTCTAATCGCACCTGCCCATGCACAATGACACCTATGACAATTTTGTTGACATTGCGACCACATTGTGGGAATATGTTCACACAATTTGCTTGATGTTCAATAATTGCAAATGTCATTAAGGAAAAAATGGGAGATAATAATTAGACCAGTATCACGTCATGATCTAGTTAGGCCCACAACTTGAATTGGGTTAACCTAATCTTTCTTTATATTGAGCTTCTGTATGGTCATACTATTGTTTTGTTATCTCCATATCAGTACAAGCCCACATTTCCGACGGAAGAAGCAGCGACCAATTCAATACCTTCGTCACAGGCTGTGGCTTACTTGAGGGCGACAATAAGTGCCTTGCTCCAAAGATTGTGTTAAGGAAGATATAATTGCCGGAAACTCGCTGGCGACTTTAAGGAAACGAGTAATATAGAGGTAAAGAGGGTCGTGTCTTGGGGTGAAAAAGTGACATTTGACACAACTAATCGAGGTCTATTGGAATCAAAACAACAGGTATATTATATTGCGGTTATGACAGGATGTAAGGTGTGCGCCCCGGCTCGGAACAACTTGACCTTTGGTATAGGTCAAGAAACCCATTTCTACATACATATTAAATTAAAAAAATACGTAATGGAAGTTGATAATTTTTAAATGTTATTTTTACAAAGGGTGAAGTAAATTTTATTTTTTAAAGGGTGTGTCTGTAAACGATGTTAACTTAGCATAAACTTTAAAGTAAGATCAATGCCACTAATGTTAGAAGGGGTCGAAACAGAATCAAAAGTATAACGATCATCGATGATCTTGGTTGACTTTTGCTGCAAGCCCCGTTGTGTCTTTTGCTATTCTAGCTACGTTTGTGGGTATCTTTCAATCTTCGTAGACTCTACAGAAAATAAAGGGAAACAAAACGACTGAATTATGAAAAAAAACCGTACATTCTCTGTTTTTTTTCATAATACAGTCGTAACTCAACCAATATAGATTGCAGTCGTTAGTACCCACCATTCTTCTGATTCCATCCATAGGGAAGGCCTGTGCCCCAGCAATGGGGCAAAAAGCTGATGACTTGAAAATTTGAATTCAATAAGGAATTAACAAAAGGCATGCAAAAGGTCATTGGGCATGACTGACTCACTCTAACTTCGTGTGGATAGACCGAGTTGTCAGTGTACGCGCACAGAAGGTCCACCGAGAGAGGATGGCACTGCCTGAACTTGGAGGCTAGTAACAGCGCAGTGACTGCCAGTAGTTGCAGCTGCTGTCGCGAGATGGCGCGCTGCGCGAGGAAGCGGTCCATGTAGCTCACAGCCAATGGGAACACCTGCTCCTCACACTGCTGCTCCTCGCACACCTGTTTACAAATTACAATGGTCAGCTTCAACTAAAGTAACAAAATTAACAACTTCCTGCGAAAGTTAAGTGTCAATAATTATATGGTGTGTTACATCATTATTTAATATTTGATAAGGACCATTGTAGTTAAGATCTTTTAAATATTAACTACATATACTACTGTGAACAGCAGCAGCTCTCGACTGACAAAAAATAAAGTTTTTCGACATTCATACATTACTGAACTGAACATAATAAATGTTATCTTGCTGTCTATAATCGAGAAACGAAATCAAGCTTAATTCACAATACGTTTAAGTTCACAAAACTTTATAAAAACTTAAACAGGAGGGTTGTATTAAAACATGTTTATGACCTATGTAAGTATGCACCACGGTAAACTTTTTACCTGCATTACCTCTTTGACTTAGTGAGATTCTTGTGTGCATTGAAGAGGCAAGAAAGCTCGGCAAAAAACCAAGTAAAAAAGTTTCCGTTGGTAGTCAGTTGTAAGGACTCGTTATGAGCTTTCGTGTAAATGGAATTTTTATATTAGATTCGCCCTAGCAGCAAAGCAAAAAATAACTTTCTATTAAAAAAATCTATAGATTTTAACATCTAGCTGCAATACTTAAAGTAGGAAGTATTTATAGGTATTTATGGAAATAAATATAATGAAAAGTGTAAATACTTTGACATTTCTTTTAAAATATAATAATAGCTCTATAAAATTTAACAAAGAAAATATAATTAATTTAACTGAACATCAATTTTATGAATTTAATTTTTAAGATTAATGAAAGATAACACGTCATAAGTACGATAATATGTTATGAAGTCGAGACCACGTTAGGTGTGTTGTATGTGCGCCGTCATAACGTAGCAATAAGAGTGATATTATTTGTGAAAATGTAACTATTGTTATGATCTCGTCAGTACCAACTTGCAAAATAAATATGTAATGTATTAAAAATATCGGGCACCTTCAAAGGGTACTGAATTGCTTTTATATGAAAACATTAGGTACTATGTATATAGAATAAGTATATTGCTATATTTATATTTTTTAATATCAAAACGAACTAGTTGCTGACTTGATATCGAAAATAAATGATTGTAACCATTACAAGGAACCATTACCTACCCATAATATAATAAACGGAAATACCTATCCTGGTTTGAAGCAACTATGAATTATGTAAATATTAAAAAGGAAACAGAAGATGTTCGTTGACCTTCTTCGAAATAACAACGAATACCTATACAAGAAGTCACTCTTGAAAAACGAACGAAAGTACCTAAGTAGGTATATAATTAACAAAATTTATTAAGTAAGTACCTACTGAAATGACAACTACAGATTCTAACCCACCATATACAGTAATACTAAATTTATGAAAAAATATATACGACTTTTTTTCTCGTACCGATTTAATTATTACTTTGTAAAACCGGCGGATACGAAATAAATATTAAAATATTGTGTGTATTGTGTGTGTGCATTATGCGTTTTGTTTCACGACGAACAATAAAATGTCAGTCAAGTTTTCGAAAAATATCGATCTCTGGCATTGTCCTTTCCACGTAAGAGTAAAAAAATGTTTATATTTTCCCTGTAGGGTATTTATATTTTTAATCAATCATAATCATAATGTAAATAAAACACTCAAGCAGGTAGTTAAGTTTTTTTCATAAACCAATGCACTGATAAGATAATGGAGGTAATACAAAATACTGATTACAAATTAACGAGCAATTAACTATCCTTTAATGAGCTTGTTTTGTAATTAATTTCTCATGAACAATTAACAATATCAAGGTAAACAACACAACATATTTAATGAATGACAGCTATATCATAACTTATTAATTGTTTGGATAATGAAGGTATTTGCGTTTTTAAAAAGTAAGTACATAAAGTTTTGAGAAAATTAACTCACTTCCAGCATCCACGTAGTGACCACCTTTCTCATGAAAGGCTGGATATCAATCTGAACGTTCTGGAAGTAGTCTGTGTGGAGAGCGTGGCATCTTTCTAACGCAATCAGGTTCAGCAACACCCTGGGATCGCGGTCCAGCGCGCGGTCCGGACCAGCCACACACATGTCGGCCCTGCCGCTGCTTCGATTCCCGGAGTTTTCGATGTTCTCGCCACAAGACAAATCCATATTTGCACTGGCACAATAGTTTTTCTTTTTGGCAAAAAATAAAAAGTCAGTCACTTATCGATAAGTTCGATACAACACTGTTGGTAAAAGAAAGCAGTGACACGCATCCAAAAGCTTTTGAGTATCGAATAGGGTTACGTTCGAACGACAATGTTTACACTGCGTGAACAGGAGCGCACGAGCACGGGTCGCAGTGCCGCTGCGCGAGCGGCCAACAGGCAAGTGTCGGTATGCGAGCTCTGCTGTATCGGAACTCAGGCACACCACACTCCGCACCCCTCGATAATCCCTCGGACCCTTTGCTACGTTGTGGTCCCTATTCATAGTGCTGACTGCTGGCGTACTTTTTAAATACTTATTTTAATTTTAAAAAACATAACCCTCATTCTTTTGCAGTCGGGTAAAAATCTGATAGGATTATCCTTTGTGACCAACGCTAACTTCTGAGGTATATTTTAACATTTGTCCAGTGTTTGCTGGTCTTATTTTTCAGCTAAGATTTCGGGCGCTTTAATGAGAAACTCGTTTGGAATATTTGTGGAACCTTCAGACTTATCCCTAGTGTCTACATTGTACTTCAAACACTTTCATTTTGGCTCAATCGTGGGTTGCTGATGACTTTCCTATCTTCCCGTGCACGTAATTTAAAATTTCGCAATTAATTGACTTCGCTATCATTAACGGCCAGCACAGACAAGGGACTTCTGTATCCACCAAAATAGATTGCTTACAGGAGCATCGAGTAACGCACTCAACGTAAAAAGTACCGCCTACAAAAACTCCCTCGAACAACCGAGGTCACTGAGAGACCGGATTAGACAAAAGTACGCGGGTGTCCCCGAAAAAACCAGAACTTATGTGACAAGGCAACGCACACAGCAAACATTAGCCGATTTACAGGAATGAACCTAATAGTCCAAGATCCCAGGGCCACCAGACGTCACGTATTTTCTGACGAAGGAAATGTGGACGATTGAGTAGTGTTAGTATGTACTAAGAACGCATGCCTACCTGCTAGCTTGCTTAGACGACCAATTTTCAGGTATTAGGTAATCAAGGTACATAAAAACATAACTTACCTGACGTAAATTCTCCAAGCTGATTTTTATGTATATTTTAGGCAATATCCTTAAATATACTCCCAGACACTTTCCGTCCGCCGTATTACTTTACAGACGCTTTAAAGCTCCCAAAATAGTTACTTAACTTCACGTAAATTCTGATGCTCCATTTTTATATATGTCCACCAGACAACTATTTTAAAACCTTTTACAAGAAAGACAGACCGATCCAAGGGGCCAATCATCCCCTAAATTCAATTTTAATGCCTCTGTGGGTAGGAGCGCGAGGGCATTATCTATGCGCATGAGACTGAGTGAGACCTCTATTAGAATAGGACTTCTCTATCTCTCTCTCTCATCTTATAGTTTACTCATATCAATTAATTATTAATATTAAAAAAAATGCTAAAAACTAAAAAATCCGGTAAATAATTAAAAATTTACTTGTAAAAAAATGTTCATTTGTCTATAATAATTCTAGAATTTATCCTGCAAGCTGTTTTGATAAATTCGAAAAAACGTCAATTTTTCTTTCTTTTTTCTTGACATCGCAATCTGTCTCACTCAGTCTCATGCGCGTAGATGAATTTAGAGGATGATTGGCCCCTTGGATCGGTCTGTCTTCTTGTAAAAGGTTTTAAAATAGTTGTCTGGTGGACATATATTAATAACCGTTTTATATTTAACCCATACATGACGACATAAAGACGACATATTCAGACATTAAAATAGAGCATCAGAATTTACATGAAGTTAAGTTATTATTTTGGGAGCTTGAAAGTGTCTGCAAAGCAATACGGCCGACGGAAAGTATCTGGGAGTATTGGCGACTTATTTTTAAGGATATTGCCTAAAATATACATAAAAATGAGCTTGGAGAATTTACGTGAGGTAAGTAATGTTTTTATGTACCTTGATTACCTGATACCTGAAAATTGGCCGTCTAAGCAAGATAGCAGGTAGGCATTCGTTCTTAGTACATACTAACACTACTCAATCGTCCACATTTCCTTAGTCAGGAAATACGTGACGTCTGGTGGCACCGGGATCTTACTCTATATTATTATCTTTTAAAATGTCTTCTTCTTTTCTTAAACTTCATGTTAATTACAACGTAATCTGAAAATATTTACTTACAGAGCGTGCACTTTTCACAATTTTCGGACAAATGTTCGCATACCGCATGTGTTGAGTCCGTGACAAGCCCTCGGCGGTTTTTTTTATGATTGAGGGTTTTCTGTCTTTTTTTATAAATCCTTCATCTGCACAGGCCATAACTCGAATAAATGAGCCAAATTTGAGTAATCAAGGGTAATTAACAAGTCTAAAGGCAATTTCTTACCGTAAAGTGCTGGGCTAAAAAGTAGGTGACAAAACGGAAGCCTATTGCTGTCCTCACGTTTCTGTTTATATGCCTGTCGTCTGTCACCCACCCACTTTTTGAACGAAATGCTTGATTATTGTATTTTTTTTCTCATTACCTAAAAATATTTGCGAAACATCAAGATAACCGAACTTTTCGCTTTTATTATTATCCCCAGAAAAACTTTTTTTCCCCTGTTTCATATATTCCTACTGACATATATCATAGGATGAAAACTTGCACTGTACATATGTGTATGTATAGCTTCAAAATGTGTAAACCGTTTTTCGACCACTTCTTACCGTTATCTGATTCAACTGTTTGGCATGCTTATGTGGGTCTGATGACTATGCAATAAAAAGTTACCATGTAGCTGATCTGATGATGGAGCTGGAAGGTAATCATAGGAACTCTGTAATGAAATGACCCAACCCCAACAAGTTTGGGCTCGTTTGATTCGTCTTGACAAGTACTTCGTTTTTAGATGGAATCCAAGATCTGATGATGGAGCTGGAAGGTGGCCATAGGAACTCCGCTATAAAACGACATAACGCCGATAAAGTTTTTTGGAGTAAGTATATTATAATGCAAAATCAAAAGCCCAGCTATTTTGAATTTTCACACATATTTTTTATGTAATATAAAAAAGTAAATACAATAATTGTGTAGATCTTTAATTACCTACATATTGTATATAATTTTCCCGAAAATCGCGATAAAGAATTTTCCACCCTTAAGAGGTCTCCTTTCCTAACTCAAATCGCCCGTATAATACTTTTCATGTTTTTTAATGTGTTCCCTTTCTTTTGAAATGGGTTTCCTCCTGTTCGGTTTTTTTTACCAATTTTTGCCTTTTTCAAAGGCAAAAATTATAATTAAATATGTGACCCTGACCCAAAACGGAAATACCAAATCAAAATCGCGCACCAAAATGAGAATACTATTTTTTTATTGTGTGATAGAAACTATTTTCTTATTGTCAGGTCCTATGGCAGGTCGATGAGAGACCAAATATTTATTATGTCCAAGTTCTCCATACTTCAGTAGGCACGTATATGTGGTTTTTGTCTGCATGACCAATTTATTGATGGTCATTAATTTTATTCATACTTAGTGATGTATAAAGAAATTAATAATAAGTAAGTAAAAAACTTTACTCGAATAAACAATGTAAATTATACGCTCAAAATTTTTATTTCGTCTCGAACAATATAACAAAGCAATTATAAAGTGAAATGTGTAAAAAGCATAACAATACAGTAGTATAGGTGGAGGTCCTGTTTGTTCAGAGGGCGCGTGGCCGATGAGGCACGGAGGAGGGCCGCGGCAGCTGCGCGCGCGCCGGCTGCGGCTGCGCGCGGCCCGGTTGACATTTTATTACAAATCCGGGCACACCTGATCTCAGACTAGTCATTATTGTAATTTCATTCTCTTTGTGTAATCTAATTGTTATTATTTCTTGCGCGTGCCCAGCCTTTCACTCACCCTCCTCAAATGTTAAGTAGATTCTATTTAGTAATGTCATCTGCTTGGCGGAGGGTCAGTGTGAGCATACTTAATCGTCACTCGCAACCAGAACTCTCCTCGTTTTTCTCGTTTTCAAATTTAGTGTTGTAGAACGGCATGTAACCCACAATCACCCTCCAATCTGTGATGTACACCATTCCTATGAAACTAGACAGCCCGAACGCGACAACAGTCCCAGTAAAAGAGCTCAGTTGCTCTATTTGTTTCTTTCCAAATATCATTTTAATTTTTTGCTAAGTTCATTTGATGCTTGTTTAGTTGTTCAGAGTGTTCAATGACAATCATCATGACAATTAATTTACTTTTCAACGTGACCTACAACAGATTACAATGTGGAATGAAAAAGTTCTTATTACTTTTTTGAACTTAGCTTGTTTAATCATGACGCGACGCGACGCAGAATTACATCAATTGACGATATCGATGAGGATATCGCATTATTGTGCGACTTAAGAAAATGTATTGACAGTCGCTAATGCATATTGACCAAATCATACAGTGTGACGATATGGCTCTCAAATTGCTACAATATCGAATTGCGTGTATGTACACGTAATAAAGATGTCTTTAAGGGCTCTCACACAAGACTTCGAACTTCTTCAAAACAGCGACGTCGTGCCGCATCGCATAAAATAGCAATGCGAATTGCTACGATTCGATTTCGTGCGGCAAAGATTTGGTTAAGTTGACCAATGAGCATAATTTAATTTTAAGAGCTTTTGAGTTTATTGTCACCATGTCTACAAAAACGATCGTACAAGGGAAGTCTCAGTGCGGACTAAAATGATGTCACCAAGTGTGACGTAATATATCAGAAATGTGCCCTGCGAATCAGTACCCCTAGCATGAACCATTATCGAATTCGAATACTTTGCGAGTGCTAAATGTCAATCACAAATTTTGTATGGAAACTTGAACAGCAGCGCCACAAAGTACGTAACGAGAACTAAAAATCAGTACACATTTGACGATGACTTTTCAGACTAGCAAACGTTACGAATTCGATATTGGTTCGTGCTAAGGGTACAGATCGGAAGAATTCGAAGAAAGATCGCAGATATTTGCAATGCGATGCGAATTCGCAGGTATGTGTGATAGAACTACTTATGACCTGCGATTTATTTGAAATGTATGGGAGAGCGCAACTCAAACAAACTAAGACCTGCATGCGATTCTTTTTTCGGATTGATGAATGGCTTCATTTGCGCATTGCAAATCTCGAGGCTAGACATT